AGTGTGTACCTATAGGTATGAGGATATGTCCCAGGTGTGTGTTTATCAGTGTGTAACAGGGGCACTCGTCCAGGGCCAGAACAAAGGTGACATCCACTGTCTTCGATGTACTCACCTGAATTACCGGGGTTTTTTTTTTTTTTTTTTTTTTTAATTAACACAACCTATTTTTTTAAAAAAAAAAAAAATGTTTTTTTTTAAAAGTAATAATTCCTAGAAAAAAAATATTCTTCTTTTTTTTTTTTTTTTTTTGTCTGGCTTCTTCCAGTGCTTAACCGAGAGGCCAGGGGCAGGGCTCCTTCCAGAAATGTTATCCTCCACCCACACCTTGGGCCCTCACAGCAGGGGGAAGGCCACGGGGGCAGGGGGAGGGCCGCTGAAGGCTACTGAGACCCAATGCGGTCAGGCTGTGTGGGTCCTGCTCTTGGTCTGTCCCAAACTTGCAATGGGGTCTAGAGCAACTCCCTCCCTCTTTCCAGGCCTGTTTTCCCCGGGGAAAATGAAAAGGTCACTCTAGAGGGAACTTTAAGGACCCTTCGAATTCTCAGTCTATGGGTCTTGAGTTCTTAAAAAAACAGAGAGGAGGGTGGGAAAAGATTGGCTAATCCTTAAGTAGCTGATGGAGTGTTTATGCTACTGGGCCAGGCGCTGCTGTGAGTTCTTTCTACATAGTCCTCCATTTCGGGGTCTCAGCGACTCTCCAGATCACCCACTTTACAGATGAGGCAATGGAGGCGCATGGAAGCCAGTGGCTAAGTCACTCAGCAGACAAATCCCAGAGCTGGGATTTGAACCCAGGCAGCCTAGCACAGGGCCCACACTCTTAAACATTAAACTACAGGAAAACATAAAGCACAGGGCACGCTGATAACGGGGTCCATCCTCGGAGAAGGCAAGGAAGAGTTAACACCGCCTCTGGTACTTATGACCTCCCCCACCTACCCGTGCCCACTTCCTTCCCACTCACCTCCCCCACCCCAAGTCCTTTTCTTCCTGATTAGTCAACATCCCCCAGCCCTGACACTCTTTTGTACCCGACTAGAAATCCTACCCCATTGTCAAGGCAACAGGCTGATGCTTTCTAGAGGGCCAGTGCCTCCGTGATCAGCCCAGGCTGCTCTGCAAATTCAAGGCCTCAGCAAATCCGACCACGGGTTGGCCACACACCCAGCTCGTGCCCTCATCCCGGGGCCCCCACCTCAGATCCTTGCTCACAAGATACAGGCTGGAACTTGACCACCCCAGCGCAGCAAGCCTTCCCCAAGACTTCACCCTGTGGCCGGCCCCAAGAGCAGCACTTGGAAGAGGATATGAACGAGCTACGCCCCTGACCTCCAGGAGCCCAAAGTCCAGCAAGGAAAAACAGTCATGTAAACGGATCTCTAGGATACCCTGTGGTCAGTGCTAAAATTAGAGGTGTGTCCCCAGTGGGCTGAGGGCACATGTGTCAGAATGATTCACGCTCCATGCGGGGAAGAGGAGGCTACGGTGCCGCTGGGTGAGCTCATTCCTTGTGGACTTACCAGAAGGAGCTCGGAAATGGGGCTGAGGAGGGCCTGAGGAGGGCCTGAGGAGATACTCTGAAAACGAGAGGAACCCCAGGTGTGGGTCAGGAGATCATGTGAGGGGCTCAAGGTCATGGTTATACTGGCTCATAGACTGAGAAGAAGTTTCCATTGCTCACGTCCCTTCCCATCCTCCCCATTGCAGCCAGGAGCAAATCTGTTTGGTGTGAGTCTGTCTCCCAGCCTTGCAAACATTTGCCAGCCTGCCTTTTGAACACAGAACTCAGGTCCACAGCCTGCATCACCCACAGGATCCAGCCAGGATTTGAGAACGTTTTGTTTTCCCTGCACGATTTACTGTTACAGTTACACACTCGTGTCAGTGCTGCATGTCGGTTTCCCGTTGGCAGGGGTGATAGAAATCCTTTTAAAAAATAATTTAAGATTAAAAAGTGAGTCAGTTTAAAGTAATGGAGCAAATAAAACTATAATTTGTATAAATTCTATGTAGGGCAATTTTTTAAAAAATCAAAATTTTCAACACGCATACAAAACCAGGCAAAGCAGTACTATGCTAGTAGACATTCTGACTGTGATCACCGCCAGAGGGAGGGGGAGGTGACCGGAAGTGGGCACAAGGGGGGTGCTTCTGGCTTCTGCTCCATTCTAGTGGTTGACCTGGAGGCTGATTATACATGTGTGTTCACTTTGTAAAAATCCGTCAGGCTGCATATGCTTATGACAGGTGCATTTCTGTGTGTATATTGTACATTCGTGTATCCTTTAAACCCACTGGTTCTCTTTCCCCTGCAGATATACACACACATGTGCAAAATAACACATTCAAAGCTCCTTGCTGCACTGCTGTTTGAAGTCACCAGAGATTGGAAACAACCTGAGTTCCCCAGTGGGGGGCTGATTGAATGACTTCAGGCACCAACAGTGAGCTCTGTGTAGCCATTGGACAGGAGGCGGCCACTGCCAGAGCTCTGAAATTCACATGGACTTAAACGTAAGTCAAAAGGTAAGGGCAGAGCTGTGTTATCTTGGGGGAGGTTATATAATGCTGGCACATGTCTGTACCTAGGGCACCCTACGGCTAGGATGCTATCTTCGAAATAAATGATAAGAAACTGATCACAGATGTTCCCTCTGGGCAGGGCTGGCCAGGGGAGAGGAACAGGCGGGAGGTTTGTCACTGATGATTACTCTTTGGGACTTTAAAATCCTTGCATTTCCTATTTGATAAGACTGAAAGCAGGAAGTCTTACAGAAGTATGAGGGTATGGTAAAACTTAGGACCCCGTCCAAACCTGAGTCTGAGATGAAGGTGTTAGTACTTTGGGCTTATAAAGCAAGTAACCCTCAGCCCCATTCCTCACCCCCAAGGGATGGTACCAGAGAAAATGGGCCTTCCAATAAGGGGTTTCCAATCAGGAGCCAGGCCAGTCTAGGGAACCATTACTTCCTCATGCTGGGCCTCTACCCTGCAGTGAAAATCTGGCCCCTAGAGCTGCCCTCGCAGGGTTGGCAGGTGGCTGAGTCCTTGGCAGGTAGGGAGGTTTTAAGCAGAAATACTTCCAGGGATGGGAAGTCCAGGATTTGGTAAGGCAAGCTCAGTTGGCTGGAGAGGAAAGATTCCAAGTTCTGAGTCCCACCCGGCCCCAAGAGAAGCAAAGCAAGGGCTAGTGAGTTGTCCCCTCCAGGCCACGGGGGACAGTGACAGAACAAGACCTTGACAATCAAGTTCAATTGTAACTGTAGGACTCCCTTTTGTACAGCACTAGTCTCATCCACATGTCACTATCTTCCCATATCACTAACACTAAAAACAGTCCGGTGAGACGTGCGGCAGGGTACCAGTTACCCACTTTATAGATGGGAAAATGGAGGTGCAAGGGGGTTAAGAGATCAGTCACGGATTACACATGGAGAGAAGGGGTGAAGCCAGAAACACAGCCCCTGCCTTCTGACTCCCGGTCTTCCCTTATCTTCAAGGGGCAGGCAAAGAATCCCAGAATCAGAACCAAGGGTCCTGGGAGATCATTAGGCCCCGCAGTTTATAATCCTGACTACAAACTAGAATCACCTGGGGAGCTTAGCGTACTTCTCTAGACTGGCAAGTCACTTAACAGCCCTGAGGTCCCAAACAAGGAAGTGACTTGCCTAAATTCTCCCAGTGAGTCAAAAACAGAAGACTAGAATCTGGATCCCTTGCCCACCAGGCAAGGTTGTATCCATAGAGGGGTCAAATGGAAAGTGAAAGCTGTTATCAGACAGATCTAGCTATTCCTGCTAACAGAATAGATCCAGGGATGGTCTGAAGAGAATACAGTGTGTATATGTTTCAGGAGGGATGAGAGCCAGAGATCTCCCCTCCAGTCCCCGGACAAGCCTGGCCTGTGGCTAGTGGGGGCAGGAGACGATTCTAGAGTGGCAAGTCTGGAGCTGACCCATAGAAATATGTTCTCATTTCTAGGTGCGGGTCCAGCCTAGTCTGAAATCTTCATAAAGGACTCAACGTCTGGTGACAGCTTACCAGGAGGGCTCAGCTTCCCAGTCAGTAATAATAATAATAATAATAACAACAACAATAATAATGGCTCACACTTCTTAAGCTCCTCACTGGTCCCACCCAGTGCTGAGCACTGTACTTGGCCTACTTCATTCAATCTCCACACCCATCCTTAAAGTTGAATATAATTACTGTTTCTATTTGCAAATGAAGAAACTATGGCCTAGAGAGTTTAAATAACTTCCTCAAGATCACTCAGCTAGAAAGTGGTAGCGGCAGGATTCGAAGCCTAGTTCATGGCCAACCACCAACACCCTGCCGCCCAGCAATACACAAGAAGAGGTAAGGCTCAGCGGCTGCGGAAGTTACCCGACATCCAGGAGCTGCTGGAGATCTCCCCAGACGTGACCTGGTGGAACCCCTCCCAGCTACTCCGCGGACAAGGTACGCCCATCCTCCTTCCACCGTGGAGGAAACCGAGGCATGGGAGGGAAGCATCTCCTCTGAGACGTCCGCAAGTAGCTAGTGGGAGTCCAGGTTTCCCCGCCCAATCCGGACCACAAAGCCAGACCACTTCTTCCCCACAAGCTGACGCGGAGGCAAACTCTGTAACACCCGGCGGGCGGGTGGGCAGGCGGGCGCGCTCCCCACGGTAACCACGGCCTAGCGCACCAGCCAATACGCAACAGACGAGGAAAACCAACGCTCTGGGCAGGTGTACACAGGTGAGCCAGGAGCGCTCCTTAGTGGTTGTGAACGCGTAGTCAACGCTCCGGACCCATCCGCTGCTGAAATTCCGGCTGAGCCTGGGCGCCAGAATTTCCCGCTTCCCAGGGAGAGTGGGACGAGGAACCAGGCGTGCACTCCCCGCGCCCTGTTTGGAGCAGCCAAGTCTAGACCCTACCCGGGTACGGCGTGGGGGCGGTCCAGGGAGTGTCAGCACCACACCCCCCATCTCAGGGTCTCCCTCGGTCACTCACCCAGAACACCGTGGAGTAGACGACCAGCGAGAACTTGAGCCAGAGGTAGGAGAGGCGCGCGCAGTAGCGCACCTGCTCGGAGTCCCCGCGGGGCATCCTGGGCACTCTCCGCGGGGCTCCGGGGCTCCGGGGCTCCCGGGCTAGGTCCCTCGCCTACAGCAGCCCCACCTGCGGCTGCCAGCCGGGCCGCGCGCCCCGCCACCCGCGCGCGCTCCGGGACTGACATGGGCTGGCGGCAATCACAGCCCCGGCCGGGACCAGTCCGCCCAGCGGCCAATGGACGCGAGGCCGCGGCCCAGCCTCTGGAAGAGGGCGGGCAGGGGGCGGAGCCGTGATCCGGGACCCGCTGTAGGCGTAGGGAGGGGAGGGGGCGAGGGTTATGCAAAAGAAGTCCTTTGCGGCTCTGGAGACGCCTGTGCTTCGGAAGCGGAGCGGGGCGTGGGATAGTGTGCACAAAGGCGCGCCGGGGAGAAAGCCGGCCCACCTAATGGGGGTATGTAGAAACGCGTGCTTTCCACTGTTGGCAAGAGGGAAGACTGTGGGAAGGGAGCTGGAATTAACAACGGCTAAGGGGCTAAAAAGTGTGCAAATGAATGTGCAAGCCCGGAACGGAATAAAGGTGGAGCTGCTCAGCCTGAGGGGGTGGAGGACCCACTTTCTTTAGGAAGGTGTGACAAACCAGGATGGGGGTAGGGGTCCTCTTGGAGCTGGGGCCGCGAGTTTCTTTTGTCACAGATCCCCAACTAACCTTTTTCCAAGTCTCCGGGAACCCCCTTCTCTGAGGCCGGTGGAGATGCCAACCCTGCCCCCCGCCCCCCCCCCCCAGGGCTTCCTCCTCTGGGAAGCCCTCCCGCCACGCATCCTCAGGCCCGGTCAGTGGCCCTGGCCCTTGCTGCACACTCTCAGCCCAGGTCTGACCCAGCCTCTCTTCTCCGAGCGTTTCCTCTGCCTAGGGTCAGAGTCTATCCTCCATTGGCCCAACTTGACTCAGCCGCTGTTTCAGGCCGAGCTCAGCCTGGGGCTTGGGAGTCCGGCAATCGTTTGCGGCATTCAGTTATTCAATGTGTGGCCCATGAGGCGCCTGGGTGGCTCAGTGGGTTAAAGCCTCTGCCTTGGGCTCAGGTCATGATCTCAGGGTCCTGGGATTGAGCCCCGCATCCGGCTCTCTGCTCAGCGGGGAGCCTGCTTCCTCCTCTCTCTCTCTGCCTCCCTCTCTGCCTACTTGTGATCTCTCTCTCTCTGTCAAATAAATAAATGAAATATTTTTAAAAGTAAATAAATAAATAAATGTGTGGCCCAGAGGTCGAGATCAAGGCAATGCTGGAGGCATTGGGGTCCCTGGTGGTGACTGCAGGAATGGCACCCCGGTCTAAGTCCCCTGCCCTGAACTGCCAAGCCTCCCATATATATATACACACGCTCCCAGAGTGAGACAGATCTCCAGACAGACCAGGCCCACTCCAGCCCCCAGGGCTCTGCCTTAGAAGAAAGTAAAGTTGGGATATGGAGTGTTGGAGAGCAAAATGTCCTGTCCCCTTCAAGGTTCTTCTAGCCAGACTAAGAATCAAAGTGACATGAGACAGATTTACAGGAGGAAATCATATGAGGACATATGAGGACTCCAGATAGATGTGAAAATTCCAAAGACGGGCAAAATGAGGTACATGTGTCATTCTGAACTAAGGAGAAAAGGTTAGGGATCTGGGACGTCAAAGAAGAAATGCAATTCACAGGAAGATGAGAAAGAGTAAATGTTTGATAAACAGATATTTGCTGGGTCCCCACCGCGGGAACGATGAAACATAGAGGACTTGGCTCAAACAGGTCTTGCTAGGTTCCTCCCTTTTTACCATACCTAATTTTATCATTATTACTATTATTATTATTATTATTATTATTATTATTATTTAGAGAGAGGGGAAGAGACAGAGGGAGAAGAGAAGAGTATATCTTAAGCAGGTTTCATGCCCAGCGTGGAGCCTGATGGGGGACTTGATCTCACAACCCTGAGATCATGACCCAAGCCGAAATCAAGAGTCGGAGGCTCAACCGACTGAGCCACCCAGGCGCCCCTACCTTGCCTACTTTGTATCAAAATGTGATTATCTGTGTCTTCCTGGAGCAGATTCTCCATCTAAAATTTTTTTGAGGCGGTTGAGAGGGGAGGTAAAGAGCTTTTCCTGAATCTGCTGGGCTTTGATGGTTCTCAGTTCAAAATAACCTTTGTGCCAAAGTGGCCCATCTTGGGGCAGCCTGCCCTTGGCCCCTGCCACTGGAAGGCAATGCCTTGCCCAGAGAAGTAAACGGAATTCAGTCTCCTGGTACAAATGGAGTGCATCCTGCACAGGTGTTTGTGTGGGGCAGGGACGCAGAGCCAGGGACTGCTGCACACTGAAAAGGGTAGCCAAGGGCCACAAAGACATCCTACTAATGTGTTAAAAGTTGTCCTTTGACGGGGCGCCTGGGTGGCTCAGTGGTTAAATCCCCTGCCTTCGGCTCAGGTCATGATCTCAGGGTCCTGGGATCGAGTCCCACATCGGGCTCTCTGCTCAGCAGGGAGCCTGCCTCCTCCTCCTCTCTCTCTGCCTGCCTCTCTGCCTACTTGTGATCTGTCTGTCAAATAAATTAAAAAAATAAAATAAAATAAAAATAAAAATAAAAAGTTGTCCTTTGAAGAGGAGGACACCAAGTCTTTACCCTTCTTTGGGGGACTAGCTTCCCTCCCCTAGCCCTGCAGAGCTCACCTTATACCCTCTCTTTGAGGTACTGGTCTCATCCCTCCGCTCCCCCGGGGGCCGTCCATCTCCTTCTCCCTGGCAGACAGCCTAGCCAAGGAGGTTTTCTTTCCAGTTGCCCTTGGCCTTTGTTTTGGCATCTAGCTAGCTGCACTTCCTCTTCTATTTCAAGTTTTCCCTGGTGACAAGCCCAACTGGAGCAGCCCCTCTGGGCTCTCCCTGAGCCCCTGTAAGTAGTGCCCCAAGGGAAGAGGCTGGGACAGGCATTCAGGGAGCCTGGATTTCTTTGGGATGAGCACACCATTCCCTGGGCTCCTGGGCACCTTTGTTGCCCCCCCCCACCCCAACCTGACCCCAAGTACTGTGGGCTGCCCCCAGTCACTTCTGCAAACACTGAGACCTCATAAGAAGTGACCCCTTATTTGTAACTTTTCCTTCTTTTTGCCAGGAGCTCTGGGCTGGGGGTTAGCCGCCTAGGACCAATCCTGGTTTTGCCATGAATTTTCAGAGAAACTGTTAGAATGTGCAGTATAGATAGTGTGTCTACAGGTCTGAGTGTGACCCTGGCTGCTGTCTACAACCACCTAGTGAGTTTTAAATGGATGCCAAGGGGCGCCTGGGTGGCTCAGTTGGCTGAGCGTCTGCCTCTTGGTTTCTGCTCAGGTTGTGATCGAGAGATGGAGCCCCACATCAGGCTCTACATTCAGCACAGAGTCTGCTTGTCACTCCCCCTCCCCTGGTTTACTTACACTTTCTCTCTCTCTCAAATAAATAAATAAGTAAAATCTTTAAAAACAAAAACGGGTGCCTGGGTGGCTCAGTGGGTTAAGCCTCTGCCTTCAGCTCAGGTCATGATCCTGGGATCAAGCCCTGCATCAGGCTCTCTGCTCGGTGGGGAGCCTGCTTACCCCACACCCTTTCTCTCTGCCTGCCTCTGCCTACTTGTGATCTCTGTCTGCCAAATAAATAAAATCTTAAAAACAAAATAAAAAATAAAATGCAAAGTAAATGGACGCTGATATCCAGACCCCACCCTACCTCAGCGAAATCAGACTCACCACCAGCAGGGACTTAGGGATCAGTATTATCTTAAAGGTCCCAAGTAAGTTCTAAAGGCAGCCAGGACAGAGTCTCACCCATCCAGAGGTAATCATGGGGGGGAGGGGGTCATTTCATCAGATAGGCCACACTCCAGAGGTCACCCGGCTAGCCAGTGGTGTGCTGGTGAAGGCTTAATGATTGCCTCTCCGTTGGTGGGGAGTGGATAGGAGGGCTCCTGCTGCTGGTCTCCAGAGTGGGAATACTTCTACCTGTGGTCCCTGGGCATTAAGAGATATAATCGCTCCCCCCCACCTCTGCACCCCTCCCTCTCTCTGTCCACCCCTACAGCTTTACTGATTACCCCAGGGAACCCTACCCATAATGACAGAATGCATCCACGAAATTCATGTCTCATCATTAGCATAACAAGTATTTTTTTAAGCATTTTATTTACTAATTTGCAGAGAGAAGGAGAGCGCACAAGCAGGGGGAACAGCAGAGGGAGAGGGAGAAGCAGGCTCTCCACGGAGCAGAGAGCCTGATGCAGGGCTCGATCCCAGGACCCTGGTATCATATGCTTATGATATGCAGATGCTTAACCGACTGAGCCACCCAGGTGCCCCAACATAATAGACATTAGAAATGCACTCTCCTTGGGTGAAATCAGTAGTATTCAAGATATGCAGATTATCTAAATGAGACACACACACCCGTTTCTTGTTCAGAGGAAAAGAATTTCACTTGAAGATGATGGATAGGGCTAAATTCTTGAAGATCCCATGTTCCAAGGTACCTGGTTGCCTGATGTGGACAGCAGTCTCTAGAAGGTTGCAGCTTCCTTGGGCAGACCCTTCGGGCAAGGCGGTAGAGCACCTAAAAGCAGAGAGCCGGGCCTTCCCTGACTTTACAGTACGGATTGTCGGAGCCAGTTTTGTGGCTACTTGCCAATAAATGTTTGTTTTATAGATATTTTTATGGATGTCACAATTTGTTCTGAGATCCGTCTTGATGATAACCTGGCAGGCCGATTGTGGGAGGAGATAACTAGCTGCCGCTCTTAGCAGCCACTGCTGCTTATGAGAAAGAACCCAAGGCCATGCAGGACCTACTTGGCTTGCAGAAGTTTGCCTTCCTGCCACTGGGCAAATGACTGTGCCTCTGGTTCCCCATCTGGGAAACCGTGAGGTTCAACACTTTCTCCTCTAGCTCTAACAACCTTAGCGATCGTCCTCATGCTCAAATCGGTGAGCAAATGTAGACTGAGCTTCTCCCGTGAATCAGGCCCTGCCCCAGTTCTGGAATATGTCCGTAAGCAGGACAACCTGCTGTCTTCTATTGGGGACAGAGTTGTGGGGACACAGGAGACAAGCAAGAGGGCTCCCTGCTCAGCGGGAGACCTGCTTCTCCCTCTCCCTTTGCTGCTTTCCCTGCCTGTGCTCTCCTGCTTTCTCTCTGTCAAACAAATACATAAAATCTTTTTAA